GCTGTATGGAAGGTCCCTAAGACAACTCCTGCTGTAATTATATAAGTATTATATATGTAATTATATGAGAGGCAGCTTAAGGAGCTGGACATGTTAAGCCTAAAGAAGAGAAGGCTGAGAGGAGATATGATAGCCATGTATAAATATGTGAGAGGAAGTCATAGGGAGGAGGGAGCAAGCTTGTTTTCTGCTTCCTTGGAGACTAGGACGTGGAACAATGGCTTCAAACTACAAGAAAGGAGATTCCATCTGAACATGAGGAAGAACTTCCTGACTGTGAGAGCCGTTCAGCAGTGGAACTCTCTGCCCCGGAGTGTGGTGGCGGCTCCTTCTTTGGAGGTTTTTAAACAGAGGCTAGATGGCCATCTGTCAGGGGTGCTTTGAATGCAATATTCCTGCTTCTTGGCAGGGGGTTGGACTGGATGGCCCAACTCTATGATTCTAAGAAGGCAGCTATTCCGAAATCAGGGGAAAATACCCAAAAGTGCTCCTAGTTTCAAGCATTTCGGATTATTATTTTTTAAGCAGCGTTTCTTTGCGGGCCAAACATTTGCCTCGTCAACAGGCAAGTGCGGGTGCCACGCAGGACAGTCTTGGAGGCGGGGCGTTTACACTGGATCCTGTTTCCACAGTCTGGGATGGAGGAGGGGGGCGGGGGTTATGCCCCGTTGCAACTAGAGGCACGTCTACACTACAAAAGGAATACAGCTTGACCCTGGCTTAATGTGAGGGAATCCCGGGAGTTGTAGTTCTACAAGGTCGTCAGCTTTACATACCAAAGAGAGCTGGCCTCTCCCCAAACTACAACTCCCAGGATAACATAACATTGAGCCGTGGCAGTTGTAGGCCAGGCATTGGCAAACTTCGGCCTTCCGGGTGTTTTGGACTTCAACTCCCGGCATTCCTAACAGCCTCAGGCCCCTTCCTTTTGCCCCTCAGCCGCTTAAGTCCAAAACACCCGGAAGGCCGAAGTTTGCCAATGCCTGCCGTAGGCGCACCTAGGCCTTCGGTTCCAGACCCGCCTCCGCCTCTCACTTTACCTGCCGCCTCGGCTGACGAGACGAAAGTGAAGTCCCCGTTGCCCGGGGCGTAGAGCGGAGGCTGCTGCTGCTGGGGAGCGGGAGGCTGCATGGTGGCCCTTCCCGCGGGAGGCCTCCGAGGGCCCCTCAGGCGCGACCCGAAGAGGCGGAACAGGCCGCTTCCGCCTCCTCCTTCCGCGGTGACAGGCAACGCGACAACAGAGACATCGCCCTTCCTATTGGGCCTCTCTAAAACCCTCCTTGATTGGCTGGCCTAGCAAGCTCTCCCTCGACTCCGCCCACCGCGCAACATTTCATTGGCCAAGGGAGCCGTTGTGCGTCCTGATTGGTGGAATGGGATCTGGGAAGAAAGAGATTGGCGATTGAGAGCAAGGGAAGTTATAAACCCCGCCCCCATTGCTAGTACTGTTTTAGTTTGTGCCCTCGCACACAGGAAGACGGTTCCTCCCATAGAATCATAGAGTTGGGCCATCCAGTCCAGTCCCCTGCCAAGAAGCAGGAATATTGCATTCAAAGCACCCCTGACAGATGGCCATCCAGCCTCTGTTTAAAAGCTTCCAAAGAAGGAGCCTCCACCACACTCTGGGGCAGAGAGTTCCACTGCTGAACAGCTCTCACAGTCAGGAAGTTTTTTCTCATGTTCAGATGGAATCTCCTTTCTTGTAGTTTAAAGCCAAGAAAATAACAGGAAGAAGGATCCTCCACCACACTCCGAGGCAGAGAGTTCCACTGCTGAATGGCTCTCACAGTCAGGAAGTTCTTCCTCGTGTTCAGATGGAATCTCATTTTCTTGTAGTTTAAAGCCATTGTTCCACGTCCTAGTCTAGAAAAGAACAGGAAGAAGGATCCTCCACCACATTCTGGGGCAGAGAGTTCCACTCCTGAACGGCTCTCACAGTCAGGAAGTTCTTCCTCATGTTCAGATGGAATCTCCTTTCTTGTAGTTTGATGCTTTGGATCTCCGGCGGGTTCTCGCGAGCTGTCCAGGGCTACAAGCTGGACAGGGGTTCGAAAGTCACGTGATTACGCCTCGCCAGCCCCACCCTCCCTGCCATGTAATGCAGTTTCAAACCGCATCATATAGTCAGTATAGACCAGGAATTATGGAAGTCGAAGTCCAAAACACCTGGAGGGCCTAAGTTTACCCATGCCTGGTGTAGACGCTTATGAGTCAATCTATATGAGTTTGCACTGGCCATATGATGGAGTTTTAAACTGCATTATATATCAGTGGCAAGTTCTTGGTGGTATGGGCATACCAAATCACCTTGTCTCTCTCCTGAGGAATCTGTATAAGGACCAAGTAGCAACACTAAGAACTGAGCATCGAACAACAGACTGATTCAAGATTGGGAAAGGCGTGCGACAGGATTGTATACTCTCACCCAACCTGTATGCAACTTGTATGCAGAACACATCATGCGATGTACAGGGCTTGATGAATGCAAGGCTGGAGTGAAAATTGCTGGAAGAAACATTAACAAGCTTAGATATGCAGATGACACCACTTTGATGGCCAAAAGCGAGGAGGAGCTGAGAGCCTTCTAATCAAGGTGAAAGAAGACAGTGCAAAAGCTGGGTTGCAGTTAAACATTTAAAAAAATCAAGATTATGGCAACCAGACTGATTGACAACTGGCAAATAGAAGGAGAAAACGTGGAGGCCGTGACAGACTTTGCATTTCTAGGTGCAAAGATTACTGCAGATGCAGACTGCAGCCAGGAAATCAGGAGACACTTACTTCTTGGGAGGAGAGAAATAACCTAACTCAATAAAATAGTGAAGAGTAGAGACATCACACTGGTAACGAATATCCGCATAGGTAAAGCAATATATTCCCCATAGTCACCTACGGATGTGAGAGCTGGACCATAGGGAAGGCTGAGTGAAGGAAGATAGATGCTTTTGAACTGTGGTGTTGGAGGAAAATTCAACCAGACCATACTTCAACCAGACCATACTTCAGGAAATAGAGTCCAGCTTCTAATTGGATGGAAGGATATTAGAGGCAAAGATGAAGTACATGAGAAGACAGGAAAGCTTAGAGAAGACAATTATGCTGGGGGGAAAGGAAGGAAAAAGGAAGAGGGGCCGACCAAGGGCAAGATGGATGGATGGCATCCTTGAAGTGACTGGCTTGACCTTGAAGGAGCTGGGGGTAGTGACGGCCAACAGGGAGCTCTGGCGTGGGCTGGTCCATGAGGTCACGAAGAGTTGGAAGCAACTGAATAAATGAACAACCTCCTGACACATCATTTCTATGTGCCAGGATGCCTCCGGAGAGGCCTAATGGTGGCCCGGTAAGTTGTTCTTTATTTTTAAGGCTTTGGGGTGAGGGTGTGGCTGGGTGGCCCTATTCCATCCTGAAAGTTTTGGGATGGCATGGGGACACCCACCTGGGAAAGTCCAGGGTTTTTTTGGGGGGGTGGGAGTGGGAGTGTGGTGACTTATACCTGCTTCAGAGCAGGGTTTTTTTAACCTGCTCCAAAGCAGGTTTAAGCCTTGACTGGAAGAGCCCTTGAATACCACTATTCCAGGTTTTAGTGCTGGCCTTCTGTTTCTACCACCCCAAAGCAAATGCCTGTAGTCATAAAACTTTACCATAATAGCCTTTCATCAAAAATTTTCAATTTTTTTTTTTTGGAATATTATGGAAGTATATCCATAATGATCCACACAAACTTAAAAAGTACAGTGAAAGATGTCAAATTCAATGCTGCAAAACCAAGAAAGGATAAAACAATCCAGTAAAACAACATTGATTCAATGGATCTAATACCTGGGGATTTATATCTAGATAACCATTGCAATGAACAGTTAAACAAGAATGTTGGACAAGGAGCTTATATAAGAATGTGCTTACAGTTTTCCTTCAACCTGCTGAAAATAAGCACTTCTATTTCCTCTAAAACAATGTATTGAAATCTAAAGTGGTGACACCTCTGTAGAACAGGAAGATATCACAATTTTCTAAAAGGGGAAATGACAGCTCTTTTTTATTGCAACATAATTTTGAAAGTTTGTTGATTGAGGTATGATATAGGGCAGTAAAAATCTTTCAGCCTAAGTCTTTATGCTACTTGCTGATAGACCTAATATTACCTATCTCCAAACTGGGTTGCTGTAAAGCCCATTACAAAGAACTGCATATAACCGCATATTATCTGCTTCTCTCTTTTATCTTGTCTGAGTTTTTAATTAGTTTTAATTAGTTGTTTTTAATAATTACATGTAGCCCGCCCATTGGCTCTGTGTCTGTGTCTATTGTAATTCTTATATTGTTATGTATTCATATGTTCTATGTAATTATGATGTTTATTGTTTGTGTTTTCGGTTATGTTTTGGTTTTCTTTATTGTAATAGTTGTTCGGGCCTGGCCCCATGTAAGCTGCTCCGAGTCCCCATAGGGGAGATGGTGGCAGGGTAAAAATAAAGTTGATGATGATGATAATGGTGATGATGATTATTATTATGGATGGTTAATTGTGAACCTGTGATCCAAAGACTTAGCATACATTATACACCCTGATTTTTTTTTCCGGACAATATTATGCAATACCTGATGAATGTCTTGCTTGTTCTGTAAAACTAGTTATGTTATACAACAACTGTATGTAATATTCTTTATAACATAATGAAAATTTAACATCAAGAAGAACAGCAACACATTCTGCAATCTCACTTTTTGCCCAGTGTGTAGGAAAAAAGTTATTAGTGAGCACAAGAATCAATGAATGCAAGAACCGATTCATTGCTTGCTCCATAGCTATGAGACTTTCTTGTAACTGAATTACACAAACAAAAATCTTCAACTTTGGAAAATGTTGGTTTTCTGCTACTTTTCTTTGGAAATGTAGATAATTTGTGAAATTTACAGCCATTTTCCTCTTCGTAATTGTAAATCTATTCATATGTCTATGTCTTCTTTTTTCATGACTGTTTCTGGAGTTCAGTTCATCAATTCATATTTTGTATGGATTAATCAATCATTCAGCCGTTTTTCTGGACATGCTGCACCTACAAAGCTCAAAGCCCCTTGTTTGCATGGCATTAGCATATCTCTGTAAACTGTGCCGATACCACATTGATATTGCACAACTGTTTGCATTCACCAAATTGCGGAAGTATGTGTGTTGAAATGAAACTAGCTGGGAGAAGACAGCTGAATACTACAAAGAACTTTTTATTGTTCATAACCCGTTTCTTTTGGGACAGTGGTAAAACTGCGTGTTCTCTGGTGTGCTTCTAGCCTGACAAAAGCTCAGTTAAGAATCTACAGGTAAGTATCATATGAACAAATGTAACTAGAAATGTTTGACTATATGTGAGAGAAATGTCTTCTGTGGTTATAGCTGTTAGTATTTGTGGGTTGTCTTGAGAAAGTGGTGGAGAAGGAAGTGCCTTCTTCACTACATTTACAGACATTTGGAATTTTCTTCAAGCAGAAGGAACATGACCACCAATGTTTTAAAAAGATGCTTCCTTCATATTAATGGATTCTGTGGTTACAGAATGTTTTTCTCTGCTATCTTCTCCCCCTTTCTCTGTAAATATAGAGTAAGAGCGAAAAGAGAGAACTGCAATATTCAGTGGGCTCAAATCCTTTGGTCATAGCTAACACAAAACATCAGAGATGGAATCTAACGATAGACTCCTTTCCAAGATACGGACATTAATTCCTGCATATTTTTAACTACCCTCAATTTAGCATGGACAGGATTGCAGTGTGCATTGCTTCTAGTTCAAGGTGCTGACACTGCCTGTTTTGTTCCTTTCACAGCAGATTCTATACATCTAGTTCCCTGAATGTCTGTGAGATGAATCAAACTAGTTACAAATGGTAAATTTCAAAAGCAGCCCAAAATATTTTGATGTCTGAAAAAAATACAAATGCATCTCTTTCTCCTTTCCCAAATTGGTCAAAGGAAGTTCATAATGGCTTTAATACTGCAAGAATATTTAGCCGTTCCCTGCCACGCGTTGCTGTGTCCCAGTCTGTGTATATGTGTTTTGTGTGTTTATATATGTGTCTATATTTGTGTATATGTGTACATATGTGTGTTTGCATATATATGTGGTTTTGCACATGTGTTGTAATGCAGTTTTTGGGTTTGGGTTTTTTTTGGGGGGGGGGTTGGCTTTTTAAGTCTCTTCTGTGTGACATATTTTCAAATACAGAAATATGGATATTGCATGCCCCCTCAGACTTTTCTCCAAGCAAACATTCCCAGTTCCCTAAGCCACTCTTCATAGGGCGTGGCTTCCAAACATTTGATAGTTTTGTTCATACCTCCCTGGACATGTTCCAGCTTGTTAATATCCTTGAAATGTGGTGTCCACAACCAGACACAGTATTCCAGGTGTGGTCTTGCCAAAGTAGAATGTTATTTACCTTGATATAGACACTATACTCTGTGGTTGACTTATCAATCTAATGTGCACCAGGCAGAAAAGGGTAGTGTGAACACAAAGTTTTTGCAGTCACTATGGTTCTGAGAGGGAGCTGCAGTTTTAAGTCAGTCTGATAAAGACATTTTGATTTTTCAGTGATGTATTATATGATATCATATTGATTAATTGTACCATGTATACATGCACACAGTATTGCATTTATTGATTTGGACCCCCTAGCCAGTTTATCTAGACTGACTATATACATTATTGGAATTTATTTATTTGCTATGTAAAGTGAACTGTAGAGAAAAGGGTGAGTGTAGATTGTAATCAGCTGGAGCAGTTTACTGTTTGTAGTCACGGATGTTTTATCTGTTGTGGTAACAGATGTTTCTGTATTCAATAAGAATTTTTATCCCTCTCTTCAATCCTACAAAACAATTAAATGTACAGTTTTGAAAAACACAATAAATCAAGCAAAACCCCACAATCAGGAATATTTAAAGGGAAAGTGAAAGTGGAAGTTGAAAGTGCAATTACCCAGGACTGTTTACAGACAATAGCTATGTCTGTGTGTGATATGTGCTGTGTTTAATAATGTTTCTTGTTTTATCAGGAAAGGATCAATTTTGATGTTTTATACTGTTTTTTAATTGATTGCATTGATTTGTTGCCAACACTGAACTGCCCTGAATCCCTTTCGGGGTTGAGAAGGGCAGTATACAAATACCGTAAATAAATAAATACATAAAACTAGCATTTGAAAAGACAGTGTGATTAAAAAAAATCTTTGCCTGGAGCCAAGAGTCCTCAACAGTGGTACATCAATCGACACAAATCTTTCTGGACTGAAACCTCTTTGGGCAGAAAACTTACTAGGATGGACTAACCTTTTTTGATTACACCCCACTGAAGCCCTCTCTGGTACTGAAAATATACCCAAATTCTCCAGATAAGGAGTTCTTTTTAGGCAGAGGTCCTCAAACATTTTAAACAGAGAGCCAGGTCACAGTCCTTCAAACTGTTGGAGGGCTGGATTATAATTTGCAAAAAAAATGAATGAATTCCTTTGCGCACTGCATGTATTTTAATTGTAATGCAAAAAACACTTTAAAACAATACAACAATTAAAATGAAGAACAGTTTAAACAAATATAAACTTATTAGTATTTCAGTAGGAAGTGTGGGCCTGCCTTTGGCTGATGAGATAGGATTGTTGTTGTTGTTGTTGTTGTTGTTGTTGTTGTGTGTTTTCAAGTCAGACTTAGGTTGACCCTGAGTAAGGGCCGGGTAAATGACCTCAGAGGGCCATAGCCGGCCCTCGGTCCTTAGTTTGAGGACCCCTGTTTTTAGGAGTATGTGCCAGTTTCAGCAGGGAGAAGGATTACACCAACTTCTGCTTGGTGCCAGTGCAAAAATTGGATAGATACAGACCAAAGTTTGCTACATTTGATGTACCACAGTTGAGGACTTTCTGGAGCCAACTGGAAGAGCCTCTCTGTGGAAGATGTATAAGTAGGTAGGTAACTATGGGTAAGGAGTCTTTCTTGCATCTCTATCTTAGCCTAATTTAAGATCTTTAGCAATCAAAACTAAAAACCCTGAACTGGGCCCAGACAACTGAAAACAATTGGTATAGATCTCGTTTTTCTCTAGCTCATTTTCTTCAGGTGTATACTAAAATAATGTGGCTGTTAAATCATAGGCTTAATGATATTACGTTCAGCCATGTGTTTGCTTTGTTGTTGTTGTTTTAGGTGCTTCTGAGAAAATGACAGAAGACTTGGACTGTTTGGTTCAGGATTTAATTTATTTTTATACATTCCCATTATTTGAAAAATTTCATCCACTCGGTGAAGAAATTGACATAATCTTTGATTTGACAAGTACTTACACAGATACTTTGCTTTGGAAGAAAGACATTCATAACCTTCGCTTTGGACAGCTATCTTTAAAAACTCTCTTAGAGGAACTCAAAAACCCCTGTATCATAGAGGGAGAAGCTGGCAAAGGGAAAACAACTCTTCTCAAGAAGATTGCTTTACTCTGGGCTAAGGGAGATGATCCTTCATTGTCAAAATTCAAGCTTGTCTTCTTCATTAGCTTGAGTGGTGCACAGGAAGGATTGTATGAAACCGTGTGCGAACAGCTTCTTACAAAGGACTATAGGATATGCAAAAAAGACTTCATGAAGATTTTAGTTTCTCTAAGAGAAAAAGTTCTCTTTCTCTTAGATGGCTATGATGAGTTCAAGTCCCAGAGCTGCCCAGAAATAGAATCACTGATAAAAGAAAACCATAAATTCAAAAACACAGTCATTGTGACTACAAGAACTGAGACAATTAGTAGTCTGAGGCTTTTTGGGTCATTGATTGTTGAGACAGGTGATCTGACTGTGGAAAGTGCAAAACAGTTGGTTAGGAAGGTACTGAGAACAGAAGAATTAGCTGGGGGTCTTTTGTCGCAACTGGAGAAAACAGATTCCACATTCCAGAAACCGGGCTCTCAGACTGACAGTCTTATGAAGACCCCCTTATTTGTGGTCATTGCATGTGCTATCCAAATGGGAGAGACCACTTTTAACCCACACACACAAACCACTCTGTTCTCTACACTACATGACTTGCTGGTGGGGAAAAACAGGTACAAGACTAGAGAGCTGCGTGATGAACACTTTCGTCTAAGCATAATCCATTGTGGAGATTTAGCCCTAGATGGAATATTTGAGCAGAAATTTAATTTTCAGCCTGAGGATATCTCCAGCGTAAAAGAACAAGTCCTGTTAGCTACAGGTCTCATGAACAAATATACAGCGCAAAGAATAAAGCCTGTATATAGATTTTTTCATAAATCTTTCCAAGAATATACAGCGGGCAGGAGACTTGCCAAGTTACTAACATCTCGGAGGAACGAAGAGGTGGTCACAGGTTATAGTTACCTACAAAAAATTGACAACATCTCAGATATTATTACGACATACCACAGTTTACTGCTCTACACCTGTGGGTCATCTGCTGAAGCTACTAGCAAGGTTATTCGGCACTTATCAATCATTCATCAACAGAGCAGTCGTTTTATGTTACCTCTTTCTCCCACTGGTCTATCATCAGAACTACAGCTTATGGCAAATGAATGGAAGGATGAAGAGGAAGAAGGATTAATGGCCACTTGGGAAAACTCATTTGTGGAGTGTGCAATTTGCTTCCTTTATGAAAGTACCTCTGAAACTTCAGAGAAAGAGGAGTACGAGGAATTCTTCATTGGTAAAAGTCTATACATCAATACTCAAACCATCCCTACCTATATCTGTGGGTTTTTTGAACATTTTTCTCAGTGTGTGAGTAGGCTAGAACTCATCAAATTAGACTTTTTTGGCACCTCTTCACTGGTCAATACAAAAGATGAGTGTTCTCAAACATCTCCATGGAAAACAGTCATTCCAGAAAAGGCTGTCTCCTTATTCTTTAACTGGGACCAAAAGCTCAATTCTTTAGTGATGACACTCAAAGATTTCAACAAATTAGAAAGAGGTGATGTCAAGTATCTGGAAAAAATATGCTGTTCTGCCTCAGATCTCAGGCTCCATATCAGCAAAAGTCCTGGACTCACAGGAAAGCTGAAGGACGTTCTCAACAGTTGCACAAATCTGCAGGATCTTATTGTGGAGTCCACACCCCTTACAATAGAAGATGAGCATCAGATAGCAAAAATGATGGGACTGAAAACTATAAAGCTAAAAGATCTGCAAAATGAAAATATAGATGGTATGTAGACCAACTTATGTTGACAGATTGCATGGACTTTGTAATTCAATTGCAAATATTGCCACTAGACAGCATAGAGGCATCCTGAAAAATATTTCCTTTGAATGGGTAAACTAATTGGACTGCATCATAGGTCCACACAGGATAAGCCCATCTTTTTTCTTCCAGTTTAGAAGAAAAACCAAGCTAATCTGGGGTTATTATTTAAGGTCCCTTCCACACTGCTGTCGATCAAAAAGGCTCCCAACCCACATGAGACCAGGAAAGGGATGTAATTTTGCCATCTGCGATAACAGCAAAAAATAATTTCATGAAGGTTATTTCAAGTGTTGGGGTGACAGAATCTGATTTTCTGGATGCATCTACATTGTAATATTAATCCACTTTAATATCACTTTACCTGTCTTGGCTCAATGTTGTGGGATCCTGAGAGTTGCAGTTTGGTGAGGCACCAACACAATTTTGCATAGAAGGCTAAAGATCTTGTAAAATGACTACTCCATTGATTCTACTCCATTGATTGCCAGTGCCTTCCCAAACTACAAATCCCAGCATTCTGTAATACTGAACCATGACAGTTAAAGTGACATCAAACTACAGTGAAGATGCACTCACTATTGCTTCTTTCTTCTGATGAATCTCTAGCAGAACAATGAATCTAGGTCTGTTAGAGAAATACAACTTGTTTTTCTCTGATACACAAGCTGAATACAAATGAAATATTTAGGCAATAAGAGGGGGAAGAGATACAGTTTATTATGCTTTCGTTTATTTGTATATTGATTCTCTGTTGTTAGCCAGCCTGAGTCCTTCCTCGGAGGTCGAGAAGACTGGGTTATAAAAGCTCTAAATAATAAATAAATAAATAAATAAATATCCCTACTGGTTCCATATTGTTTTCTTGTACATATATGACTATGATGTGTCACTTAAGCCTATTGTACTCCTTTGTTAGGAGGTCTTCTTGACGGAATATCTCTCCTTGTCAATGTGGAAAAAGTTATCTTTGACAACATCAAGATGAATGAGGCCACTGCTAAAAAATTAGGTAATTTGTTTGTTTTTTTAAATATCCTGCTGTTACTCACCAGTGTTTATCATAAAAAACCTGTTCTAGCCATGTTTCCCCTTTCTTTTTCTTTTCTTCCCTTTTTATCAGTCGTTGCACTGGTATTCAGTTGATCCTCTATCTCTCCCCCCCAAAAGAAAATTCGAGAAAGTAATATTTGGGGGACCCTCATACATCTAAACCTGCTTTGTACTGTTTTATACTTTGTTTTTATGCTATTATCATTATTTTTGATTGCATTACCATGTTGATTAGCATTTTTACTTGATGTTATTGTCTGTTTTGTATGTATTTTAACTTGCTGTTTTGTATGTATTTTATATTTATTGTAACTGCCTGGGCTTGGCCCCATGTTAGCCGCCCCGAGTCCTTTCGGGGAGATGGTGGTGGGGTATAAATAAAGTTGCTGTTGTTGTTATTTATTGAACAGTAATAAAATAATTTAAACCATAATTATTTGTTACTTTTTTGTAGGTGAAGATATTAAACATTTGAAAAAACTGCACTTCCTGCAGCTGAGTCATCTTATGGATATTGGGAATGGAATGACACACATAGCAAAGTCAGTATTCTCCTGCCTTATAGATTTGGAAGAAATTCATCTTGTCAATACCTGCCTTTCTGGGGGTGATCTGGAAATTCTAGGTATTTGCAGCACTTACACTATGTGTTTTTAATTTTTTATTCTAATCATCTGCTGCCAAGAAATATTGTTCTGAATAAGTACATCCACACATTCAAGAATAAAATTTGAAAAAAAACGGCACTCTCTAACTTGACGCCTTCCAGAGGTCTTGGGCAAATGCCCCCACAACTCTAAATGGCATTTGAATTTAAGAACTGTGAGAGCTGATCAGTAGTGGAACTTTCTGCCCCAGAGTGTGGTGGAGACTCCTTCTTTGGAGTCTTTTAAACAGAGGCTGGATAGCCATATGTCGAGGGTTCTTTGAATGCTACTTTCCTGCTTCTTGGCATGTGGTTGGACTGGATGGCCCACGATGTCTCCTCCAACTCTATGATTCTATATCATAGATTAGTAGGAGGGGGGGGGACCAAAAATGATCAATGCTGAAGGAGAGATTACAATGTTTTGGGTTGCTTAGCTTAGGAACAAAACATGTATGGGGAGATATGATAGAATTATATAAGATGAAACATTTTGCCATCAGCTACCTGATTCTGCCTTTGAGACAATGGCAGTGCTGATCCTGCTCATTTTCTCATAAGGTGGAAGCAGGCAGCTGGTGGGCTCCCCAGAGATCTCTCATATAGTATAGTTACTGTATTTTTTTCAGTTTCTCAGGTCCTCAATCTTTTTCTGGTTTCATGTCTCATTCATAACACAATTAGTGAATAAATGAGGCACAAGCTAGAGAAACATGAGGCTGGAAAGAGACATCTGGATCTATAAAATGGCAGGAAGTGCAGATTTGTGACAAGGCCTACATCTGAATTCCCACCATTTCACATATCCATGTAATAAAGGAATCCTGGAGCTGGAAGAGAGCACATGCAGCAATATGCAATCAAATCACTCTTGACAGATGCCCACCCGCTTTAAAACTCCTAGAGAAGGAGACTCCACCACATCCAGAGGCAGTGTATTCCACTGTGAAACAGTGCTTCCCATCATAAAGTTATTCCTAATGTTTAGGTGGAATCTCTTTTCCTATAGTCTGAATCCATTGCTCCATATTTTTTTTTGCCTCTGGAGCAGCAGAAAACAAGCTTGCTCCATCTTCCATATAACAGCCTTTCAAATTTGTTTGATGTGTTTCTCTGGAATGTATATCCCACTTTTACTATATTTACCACCATGTTTCGTTGATGCATATTATATTGTATTTGCTTTTCTGTTTAGGAATACAAGTTCATCTTGTTTATTTCCCTTTCCTCTGTGCACTAGTTTAGAAATATCCAAGACATTTCAGATAAGAGATACTCTACTTATATAAAACTCAATAACAACTGAAACATTTTATTTAGCTGATTATCTTTTTTAGTGCCAAAGTTTGAAGAGTCTGTGTGTTTGATGAGTGCATGGAATAAGCTCACTTTCAGTATTACTAACAGATAACAGCAAATGAACAGAGAACTAGTGTGGAATAAAAAGAGCATCTATAATTTGTTGATACCTTATCAGATTGCAAAAAGGGGGAAAACATCAAGACTTCCTTCAGTGACTTACTCTTTTTTATTGTTATAAAAATAAAGTGGTATTTTTGCTTGTTTTATAGTCCAGAATATTTGCAATTTACATAAACTTCATGCACTCAATTTATCTGATAATTTTCTGGGAAATGATGGAAAAGAAGCTCTTTGTCAATTGGGTAAGAAAGAGAATTTTCTTCAGAATGACAATTTGTACAAGAAATGATGAAGAATGATTTGACCCACATTGAAATGTCTTGTATGGCTTTAGTAAGGATTACATTCTTACTGATTTTTCAGGAAAATTAACTTAATTGTGTTGTATATATGCTTTAATGTATTACTTTATGGAGGAAAACATTTTCAAGTTGATCTACAGAGCTATACCTATTTGTATCAAACATTTTTATACTCAGCAAATGGCATTGTTTACTTTGCAGTTCTTCACTGGAATGAGGAATTTGTAGCCTTCAAGATGTTCTAGGATTGCAATGGCTATTCTGGCAAAATCAGGTGCAGAAAACTAGGCAAAATGTTCACATATTAACAAAGAAAAATGCTTTATCAATATAAAGCATTGTATATTGATAAACCTTTTTTTTTTCATGTCAGGAGCGACTTGAGAAACTGCAAGTCCTGGTGTGAGAGAATTGGCCGTCTGCAAGGACGTTGCCCAGGGGACGCCTGGATGTTTTGATGTTTTATCATCCTTGTGGGAGGCTTCTCTCATGTCCCCGCAATGGAGAGCTGGAGCTGATAGAGGGAGCTCATCTTGCTCTCCCCGGATTTGAACCTGCGACCTGTCGGGTTTAACCCATTGCGCCACCGGGGGCTCCGATAAAGCTTATGATCATTTGTTTATATAGCTATCTGCTGTTCCCTTTCACTTTAAAATGCCTCAAGATCATTGGATCTAAATCGCATTTTTTAGCTGTTTAATCAATTGTAAACTGTACTTCTGCTACCAGAGTAAAAAAGGGTGTTGATGGGATCTTTTGTTTCATGTATTCAAAAGAACTTGTCTGGCTTGGAGTTCTGAGTACATTGACTTTTGAATGTGTAGAAGATCCCTCTATCTACACTGTCAGGCAGCACAGTGCCGTTGGCAAGTGCTGGACACAGGTTTGCACAGCTTGTTTATTAGAGGTTATTTTTAAGCTGAAGATTGTAGCTACTGAACTAGGAGCCTTCTAGTTTATGTGGTCTCCTACTAGTGGTTCGTGTACACTGAAGTTTGATACCAGTTTGAGGTTTGGTGAGGTACCCGCGCTCTTTGGCAGAGAATGCTAAGTATCTCATAAAATTACAGCTCCCATGATTCCGTTCATTGTGCTATGGCTTTTAAACTGGTGTCAAACTGCATTCATTTTACAAATGTGTTGACTGACAGTGGGAAGAGAACAGAAAGGAGAGCATTTGTCCTTTCTGAGGGAGTGAGTTGTGCAACATGGGAGCAGAAACTGAGAATGTTCTCTCCTATATCCCTCCTTAATGTACCTGTGATTCTGGCAGGACAAAGAAAAAGCCCTTCCCCAAATATGTGAAATGTTGGAAACACTTCTTAAAAACACTTCTTACTTTAACCTGAAACATTAAAATCATGGTTTCTCTTGAGCAAAAATTAAGTACCGTAACTATACTGTAACTGAATTTCAAAGGTGTTATCTTTCAGATATTTTTGTATGATTAGTTATTCTTTGGCACTCTTTTTCAGTTGACAAGTTAAGTGTTCTGCCAAAGATGAAAGTGCTGATGTTCCCCTCGACGGATGAAGGGAATGTTTGTCTTGCTAAACTTCAACAGCTAGAATGCATGCCACAGCTAACAAAACTTGGGCTGAAGAAATGGGCCATCACAGACTCTGAGACTGAAGTTCTTGGTAAGTCCAGTAATATTACAGGCACATAAAGACAATATTTACGGAAGCTAATGAAATAACATACTGGATGAGGGCAAATATTCTGACCCACAAAGCCAACTAACCAATGATATTTGGGTGTATAAATATCTCTATAAAATGAACCAGAATTCTGTATACCTGGCAAGATAGGATTTCCTCTAATTTTCTATTTGCATATTAGGACAGGGCAGAGAGGACAGTTCCAGGGACCAGTTTTCAAAACTCAAACTATACTAGCTCCCCAAATTGATTTTTTAAAAGATAAAATCTCAACATTATTTGACTGGACATCTACTTCTGCTCTGTAGCTATCCCTGGGGACTTCCAGAAATAAGAAGCAAGGTTTTTGTACTGGAACTTTTTTCAACTACAGTAGAGTCTCACTTATCCAACCTTCGCTCATCCAACATTCTGTATCATTCAACACAATCTGCCTTCCACCTAGAACCACAGGTGTTTCAATACCTTGCAATGTTTTGGTGCTAAATTCGTAAATATGGTAATTACTACATAATGTTACTGTGTATTGAACTGCTTTTTCTGTCGATCTGTTGTAAAACATGATGTTTTGGTGCTTGATATGTAAAATCATAACGTGATTAGATATTTAATAGGCTTTTCTTTAATCCCTCATTATCCAACTTTTCACTTAGCCAACATTCTGCCGGCCATTTATGTTGGATAAGCGAGAATCTACTGTTTGAATTCATCAGAGGTGGGGGCTTGTGGTGGCTACATGCACCCTGCATACCTCACTTTGCTATCTCCTGTAGAGAAATTAATTTTATTGGTGGATTCCAGTTGCTTAACTACATTTCTATAGAGTAGTAATGACAATATATGACAATATATAATATGAAAATATGCCCCTGTGCTATTTCTCTAGGTTTACTTCTTGAAAAGACATCCCTGAGATACCTCCAGCATCTGGACCTGGCAGACAACTGCATGACGAGTCACGGGTGGCTTACCATCCTAGGACCTTTATCCAATCTCAAGAAGCTGGCAGTTCTGGATTTCAGCCAGCAAAGCTTTTTGCCTTCTGCCCAGCTAGTCTTGGAACTGGCTCGATTGATAACAAAGTTGGCATGTTTACAAGGGATTTATTTAACTGGCTGGCAATTTGATGCTCATGATCTCCGGGAAATTAACAAAGCAAAGCAAAGTCATAGAAATGAGCTGCAATTAATCATTTCTTAAACAAGAACAGTTCTGAGCACAGGACCCCCCCCCCTTTTTTTTTCTTTTTTCTTTTCTTTTCTTTTTTTGCATTGCCATATCCACACTAACTGCCACTGGGCAAAACTATTGGGATGTTGGGAAATTGGTTGCTGTAACTCTCAGGGCTGTTGCTTTACAAAAATATATCCATACAACCTTTCTGTCATTTCAGACTCTTTTGTGGCAATTCCAAGCAAAGTAACAACATTTTATTGCCACTTTCAACTTGGTTTCTTTGTAATTCCAAGACATATCAGAATAAAAAATAAACTTCCTTTCTCTTCTCATCTATTCTTTTTGTTAAAAGCATTATAGTGCTGTGCTATAATACAATAGTGAAATGGCATGTTTGCACTGTAGCTTTTTAAAAAAAGAAAGAGAGGAGAAAAATGTCATCCATCTCAGCAAATGATGTGCCAGTTTTTTTTAAAAAAAAAACTTTTTGGGAGAACTAATAATGATCCAAGAATGCTACCAGCTGGTCACACCTCAGAATGGAGTAAGTTGATCTTAACCTAAAGCCAAGGAAGCAGTCCTGATCCTCATCCAGTCCATGTCTGTCATTAGTCATAGACTGGATGAGGGGAAAAATAAAAACTTAATCCATACAAGACAGAGGTACTCCTGGTCAGTCGGAAGGCAGACCAGGCAATAGGGATTCAACACAGGTCTGCTGTTTGGGAGTCCTCCTGGACTTGGCACCAAACCTGGAGGCCCAGTTATCTGCAGTGGCCAGGAGGGCTTTTGCACAATTAAAACTTGTGCACCAACTGCGCCTATTCCTTGAGAAGCCAGATCTGACCACGGTGGTACATACCTTAATTATATCCCTTCTGGATTACTGTAACACACACTATGGGGAGCTGCCTCTGAAGAGTTCTCAGAAACTTCAGCTGATCCAAAAAGCTGCAGACAGGTTGCTAACTGGGGCTAGCTACAGGAGACAACCCCCCTGTTGCAGCAGCTCCACTGGCTTCCATGCATGATACAAAGTGCTGATTGTGACCTTTAAAGCCCTAGACGATTCAGGTCCAGGCTATTTGGCCAACCACACACCTTTGTACGAACCTACCCAGATCCTGAGATCTTCAGGAGAGGCCCTTCTCTCGGTCCCACTTCCATCTCAAGCTCAATTGAAGGGAACTAGAGAGCAGGCCTTCCTTCTTGTTGGCTGCCCCTTGACTCTGGAACTCCCTGCCTAGGGAAGTCAGAATGGCCCTCTCCCTGCTGTCCTTTTTATTCAGGCAGGCTTTTAAAGAAGAAGGTTTTAAAGACAGTCGGGGTGTTTTAGTTTTGAATATGTTTTTATGGATTTTAACTATTTTTTAATTTAAAAATCCCATGATATTTAATTCTGTTTTAATGTTTGTATAGTTGTAGATTTTAAATTGTATTGAAATGCTTTTAATGTAAGCTTCTTTGAGTCTCTGTGGAGAAAAAAAAGTGGGATATAAATAACCATCGTCATCGTCATCGTCATCTAGAGGTGACAACAACCAGGAAAACCCAAGAGAACTCATATTAAGAGAGCTCATACTTCTTTATATCATTCTGAAAGAACCCTCGGCTACATTCTAATTGTTGCTCACATGTTAAATGGACATAGAGTATTGATTTCCGGAGTGAGGAATAGTGATATTTTTATCATAGGCCAACACAGACTAGACATTCTTCTCAACCTTCTTCCAATCTCTTTGAAGAAAGCTTCTGTGATTCAGGGATTGTTACTGTTTGATTTAAAATCCATTTTACTGTAAAGTTCAGTTGAAAAAAACCCCAATTTACACGAGAGCAACCAAAAAAAATCAATCACCCCTGCCTCTGGCTGAAGGTCTGAAAGATAAAATAGAAAAGGGAAAGGATGAGAACAAAGGAAAACAAACAGCAGCACATTTATTAATAGTAGTCTGGATTTCACTAGCTAAATATTGACAAAACCCATATACAGCATCAATAGACCAGCTGAAACAACAGTTATGGTTCTCTTTTCTTATGAATAAAGTTTCTGACTGTAAGAAAATAAAGGATGTGCATTTATTTTCTTACAAAGTAAGATGAAGGTGTGATCTTGGCTATGTTATCTCTGAGATGAAATTATTATTGTAGGTATGTTGTTGCTGCCAAAACAGGCAGGACGAAAGTATAAAGAAATGGCTGGTGTAGGTTTTTTGGGGTATATGGCCATGTTCTAGAAGCATTCTCTCCTGATGTTTCACCTGCATCTATGGCAGGCATCCTTAGAGGTGTGAGATCTTGCATCTCACAGACCTCACAAGCCCTGAGGATGCCTGCCATAGATGCAGGTGAAATGTCAGGAGAGAATGCTTCTAGAACATGGTCATATACCCCAAAAAACCTACAACAACCCAATGATTCTGGCTATGAAAGCCTTTAACAATATATCAAGAAATGTATTTTTCTTTTTAAAAAATTGTGCTGGGGGCAAGACAGCTAAATCTGGATTAGAGATGCTGAACTTAATCAAGAAACAGCCTCAAGAAAGAGAACACAAGAATGACATGCCAGACCTTTAGTTGTTGTTTTGTGTCATTGCTGAGTTGAAAAATTGCAAGTCGCTCATGGTGTGAGAAAATTGGCCGTCTGCAAGGACATTGCCCAGGGGACGCCCAGATGTTTTACCATCTTTTGGGAGGCTTCTCTCATGTACCTGCATCAGAAACTGGAGTTGACAGATGGGAGCTCACCACACTCCCCAGATTTGAACTGCTGACCTTTCGGTCAGCAGTTCTGTCAGTAGAAGGGCTTAACCCATTGTGGCACCTTTAGTTGCAGAGTAGGAAGTGTCACAATCATAAGTGAAAAGTGAAGGGTTAAAAAAAGCATGGGAAATCTTGTACTGAGTCCCAAATGCTGCCTTTTAGAATTGCCTAGATGTCCTAGAGTGGGGTTTTGATCTATAAAGCCCTAAACGGCTCTGGCCTATCTTACCTGTCCAAACGTATCTCCCCCTATGAACCATCAAGGACCTTAAGATCATCTGGGGAGGCCATGCTCTCGTTCCCACCATCATCGCAGTTGCGTTTGGTGGGGACGAGAGACAGGGCCTTCTCCGTGGTGACCCCCAGCTGTGAAACTCCCTCCCTAAGAGGTTAGATCTGCCCCCTCCCTCCTGACTTTTTGCAAGAAGCTTAACTCCTGGCTGTGGGAGCAAGTGTTTGTAGAATAGACAGATTTTATTGGTGAAGTTGAGATTTTATGGACCGTAATTTGGACTGATTTGGAGGATGTTTTAAACCTGGCAAACTGTTTTTAATGTATATTTGCAATCATTTTATGTAATTGTGTATTTTATTACTGCTTTTATATTGTATTGAAATCAAATTGTTGCCTGTTGGTAGCCGCCCTGAGTCCCTCTTTGGAGATCGAGAATAGGATGGGATATAAATGTTCTAAATAAACAAACAAATAAATCGTCCCATGACATATCATAACTTTCCAGCATTTGTCTATGTAATTTTAAAAGGCTGAAATTCTTCTTAAGCTTAGTTTGTGGCAATAAGAGAATTATGGTAAAATGTGCTGGTATTTTGATTCTACACTTTTCCTTTTGACCACGATTGGAATTCAGTTGTTGAGAAAGGATGAAAAGAATATTCAGAAATTATTTTTGAATACATTTTAGTACTCATTTCCTACCTTGTAGATCTACTTGCACATTACACTTGGTTTACAAAATTAAGTTTCCTGGGAAGAAATGATTTTGAAATTATTTTTAGATATTCTGTCAGTTGCGAAGTTCTGCCCTTGACTGGAGAAAAGCAGCTTTGGGGTTAGTTTTAGTTGGACTATTTCCCACAAGTGTAATAAAAGTGCTTAGAAGCTTGTTAAGGCGATTAGAAGAAGGATTCCAATCGTTGCACTAGATGGCTATCCGATAAATGTCTAATCTTCTTTTTGAGAGAAAGGGGATTGTTGGGAAAGCTACTCTTTAGTATAAATTCCAAACAGTAGCAATTGTTACTTTTCAGGAGCTTACCGATATTACTCAGCTCTTTGCTAATTAAAATTCTTACACAGAAAAGTCATTTCACCCAGGCCTTGACCTTGCCTCATATGATTCCTGCAGTTTCATTCAATGAGTGCTGGCTTGGAATCTGGACAATGTGTGGTGCTGACCACTGTCTCCACTTCCTGAGTGCAAATGACATGCAAGAGGAACATTAATTGTCTTCAAATTTTAACCAGATAACATGTAGACCGGATCTTCGAAAACATTCTTGCTGGAACTATATGCTGGCCATGCTGGCTCGGAGACTCTGGAAGTTTTAATTTTTGAAATGGTTCCATCTGCATTGGTGAAAAAATCCATGTCCACCTCTGTTCCTATGCTTTTGTGTCCATTTTAACAGTGAAATCTATTTTTAAGGCAATTTTAAAGACTCACTTTGCAATTTCCAGAAAAAAATGTATTTTTAAAATAATATGTGTCCTATCTGGATCATTATGGCATGGGGAGTGAGCAATTGGAGGGCAGGACAGATTGGTTGGTGGCATCCTCCATCCAGCAAACATAATTATTTTTTTTAATAAAATGATTACCATATGTCAGATTATTGATTTGCCAGGATATATGTTTAACATTTTATTAAATATTTATTATTTGCTTACTTACTTATTTACCACATTTATACCCCACCCTTCTCAAGCCTGAAGGGGACTGAGGGCGGCCTTACAAAGGCAACAGTTTGATGCCACATATAGAACTACATTGGTAAATAAACAGAAGCATTAAAATCAAGTCAATTAAAACATAACATTAAAACATCGATTAAAATCACATAATCCAAATCATATTCCAGGGCTAGTCCGAGCCGTCATGATGATAACTATAGTCTCTTATTGCACTGCTCCCATTACTCTCCAAAGGCCTGATCCCAGAGACATGTTTTTAGTTTTTTCCAGAGAGCCAGGAGGGAGAGAGCTGATCTAATTTCACTGGGGAGGAGTTCCATAGACAAGGGGCCACCACTGAGAAGGCCCTGTCT